AGGAGAAGGAGTGGAGGAGGGACAGTTTACCATGACTTAGGCAATATCAATTTGACTTTCTTTACAACCAGAAAAAAATACGAACGAATGGAAAACCTGAAACTAGTTGTGAAGGCACTGAAAGCCTTGCGCCCCCAGTTAGATGTGCACGTCACTGACAGATACGACATCCTGCTAGATAGGCAATACAAAATCTCAGGTACTGCTGCAAAGCTGGGAAGGACAGCTGCTTATCACCACTGTACCTTACTCTGTAAGGCAGATAAGTTTGTTTTATCTTCTGTGCTAAAGAGTCCTTATAAAGGGCTAAAAAGCAATGCCACTCCTAGTGTGCCTGCCTCAGTGAAAAATCTCTTTGAAGAGGATGCTGGTTTAACTTGTGAGATGCTCCTGGATGCCATTGCTGAAGAATATGCTACGCAACACCAGATAGATCATCGTATCACTTTAATAAATCCAGCTGATGAAACTGTGCTTCCTGGAATTACTGGTAAAACTAAAGAACTACAAACCTGGGAATGGTTGTATGGAAAGACTCCGAAATTCAGTGTTAGCACTTGTTTTAACATGGTCTATAAGGATTCTGTTCTTGACGTTAAAGTAGATATGGATGTAAAGCATGGAAGGATTGAAGCCTGTAACATTGACCTGCCAGAGCGGTGGCTGCCACCAGCACTGTGCAGCGAACTGGTGAAGAGCCTTACTGGCAGTAAGTTTTGCCCAAATGAAACCACTGCACTAGCAACAGCATTACTAAGAGCGTGTCCACAAGACGATGACTTGCACAGCAGGTGGAATCTGCTGTGTGAGAATATGGTAATGTTAATGTGACTTGCATTTTGAAAATGTAAATTAAACGTCTTCTGTTTTTTTATTTAATTTATTGAAAACAAAACATCAATTTCTACAACTGAATTTTTCTCTTAGTAGTCATTAAAACTGTTTGATCTTGTGCTTTTGCTTCATATTACCAACTAGCAATTAGATTTCACACTGCCTGCACCCGAGGTTCCCAAACCGAAGGGTGCAAGCCGCTGCAGTAGGCTGCAGCCCCGTGTCGCTCTGTGCTGACAGACATCATCGCTGCTGAAACCAAGGAAGGTGGCGGAAGCATCCCAAACCGGCCCTGTGGCAGAGGAGGTACAAATGGCTGACACAGATGGGATGGGGGAGGTGGAAAACTGCCGCTGTGCTGCTGCAGTGGGACCCCCAGCCTGTGTCCCCCTCCTGGCAGATCGCAGCTCAAAGGCTGTGTCTCGGCCCCTGAGCTATGTGGAGAGGGATGTCCCCCTGGTTTCTGGTTCAGAGTCCTTTCCTGCAGAGTGCTGGTGACTCTCCCGCCCTACAAGTGTGGCGGTCAGCTAAACTCGCCGCCGTGTCGTGAATCAGCCAGTGCTTCCGCCCTGGTTTAGGGCGTTTGTCCACACATGAGCAAAAGGCCCGGAAGGATTCAGAAGTTCCGTGGGGGGGGTTATGTGGTGAGGGGAGGAGAGGCTAACTGGGATGGAGGCCGTTACGTGCCTGCTTCGCACCTGCACTGCCTGGCACAAAGCTAGGAGTCACTGCGGGCAGAGGTACTGATGTCTACACTAAAAGTAGAATACTTCCTCTACGTTAGGAAATACACTTGCAGATACAGACCTAGGAGAAACGGGTTCCTTATGCTACCACCTAGGAGAAAATTTGCCACTGAAAGGGAATAGTGAACTGAAAACGAGAGTTTTCATGTTAAATAAAAATAATAGCTCAGCATAGAGTAATGTTATGAAAGAAAGGCTCAAAGATGTATTTTGCTGTTGATGCCAAATGCAATTTCGATCAGGTCAGAACAGAACCAGTTTTTTGCTACAGCTGCAGGAAAGAACCCAGCGCAGCAGTGACAGACTCCGCTGATGTGAACTCTGCCCAAATGAAGCTGTTAAAGAACACTTAAAGAGTATATAGACCTTTGTTATACAACCCTTTCTTCAACAAAGTGCCCTTGAATCGCAGAGTTAGTTAATTTGAAGTGGGAGGTTCACCCTGTTGACATGTGAGAACATCAAGGTAAATTCCATCCAGGGCACAATATATAGCACAACCCAATTTAGATAAGAGTTTTCCCAGAAGGTTAACTGGGATGGTAGGGCTTAAAAGGAAACGACAGTATCCAGAAATGAGCCGGATAGTTACAGACAAAGGGCTTGTTACCGGGTGACATATGGGTTGTCCTGAAATACCAACAACGTTTATTACTTCTGAAGATAAGGGAACTGCAGGAAAATCAGAAGCACAGAAAGTGGACTGAGAAACACCAGCATCAATTAGGCAAGAAACAATGGTCGTGAATGAGTGGTTTGGTCACTTAAATGATCACTCAAAGGTTTTGCAAGAAAAGATTTTATGGAAAATTTAGAAAATGTGCTCTTACAAAGTTCGTTGGCAAGGTTCTCTCTGTTACTTATTAAATGAATGGAATAGAAAATTGGAGGAGGTTTTGAGTGGAAAATTATGTATATGGAAGTAAAAGAAAAGTGTATGGGGTAAGGGAGAGCCTCCCGTTGAGTCACCCGGTTTGAAAAGGACCCACCTGCTTTCTAAACTCCTGCTCAGAGAGGAACCTGGGTGCGGCCGGATCCAGACCAGGCCTTAGACCACAACAGTTTATGTCTAAGCGATAAGTTTAGTAGCAATTCATGGTGAGTTCACAGTTTAAAGAGAGAGAGGGGATCATGGGAATTCAGTAGCTACTAATCACTGGTTAAATTATCATTTACAGAGCTATTAGAAAGAATTTACTATTACAATCACAGTAACAGGATGTTATTAATCGAGTCACCCCTGCACACATGCACGCAATCATAAATCTCCCCTCAAGTTCAATGCAATGCTCACTTCAAAGCAAACAATTTCTCAACGGGCGAAGGTTGACTCTCAGGGAGATCAGCCCGGGTTGGTGAGTTACTCTGGGAGGTGTCCTACTCAGAGGCAGTTACTGGGCTCAAGTTCAGTGAAAGAGTTCCCCTGGAGCTCAAAGGGCCTTCCTCGGCACCATTGTTCATAGCGTGTCAAGATGGTGGACTTTAGGCATCAGTAATTTTCCATCCTGGTCACAATCCACAGGATGCAATCCTGATTTTTAGACAGCAGCTACACAACTCCAGCACTACCCAGACTGTCCAGTTCTGGCATTCACCAGGCAGGTGCGACTCCAGGCATCGGGAGTTCCCGGTGCGGTCAGCGAGTGCCTGATCGGCCCAGCTCACTGCTCTTGGACAAGGACAAGGAGAGAGCTGAGTCGTCCTGCTTCTCTGCTCAGCAGCTAACTGTTCCTGCAGTGCAAGCAAGAATACAGTGTTGGCTGGTTCTGGGATTGCCGGGTGTGAGGGAGAGCTGCACCACCACAACAGTATTGCTGTTCAGAGGGCAAGATAAATCAGGACCAGTGTGGCCTACAGCAAGTAAAAGAGCAATGATGTTTATGTCCTTGGGGCTATCCTAATCACATTTCTCAGAATGCTGCATGAAGGAAGAGTTGGGTGGAATTTTAGGGTGGCTGAATCCTGCTGGACTTTAGAAGCCTTAGAGTTAGGTCTGTAAGGACATGCTGACTTTCAGTGTCCTACTTGTCCATAGAGACAACCTTCAGCTGAAGCTCCAGCAGGGATTTCAAAAGGTCACTTACCTTTCTAAGTGGCACCAAGCAGGTTTCGGCAGGGAGCAGCCTGTGGTCCTCACAGGTGAAGCAGGATGTGTGAACCCAAGTCAGGCCACCAAATGGTGTCTCAGAGTTACTGGAATGCCATTTTGATCAGGTCAGGACAGCAGCAGTTCATTGCTCTAGGAGGGAACACCAAGCAGCAGAGATGGCCTCTGCCCATGGGGACCCTGCCCGAGTGCGGCAGTGGCAGAGCTGATGCTCTGCTCCTCACTCTTCACCAAACCGTCAGATAAGCAGGGGGTGGTAAGTAACAGCAGCGATGGAAATTCTTCAGATGAGGAACCTCTAGACAGATCAGAAAGCCCTAGGCAGTATATGCTTCATGAATACTTCCCTCCCTGGTTAATCAGACCACACTGATGAGACCAGTAGCTCCAAGTATTTCTTAACAAGTGAGGCCTGCCAAGAAAGGCCCATGAGGTGTTACTA